CGAAAAATTGGTATGGTTTGGGGTCCACGGGGAGTGGCCTCCCCAGTACCTTAGCATTTTTAGGTTGGCATCTCAGATTGTGGCCATGAGTTTTTCCATTCTCTCCTTGGCCTTGCTGGAATCACGCAGCCTCCGAATCTTAGCAATTCATAAAGCTGCAGTGCTGGGCTTTAGGATTGTCTTTTGCTTCGGCGATAGCCCACGAGACCTTTGGAATGTTCGCCCTCAGAGACTTCTTGTTCTGCGTAGGTGCAGCCACTGCCCTCGAAATTGACCGGCAGAACTCTCTACAGGCATCCAAAACAGGTGGAGAAGCTTCAACGCGGCTTCACGGCCTGTCACAATGCTTCCTGTTCCTCCTCCTCCGATGCGGAAGCCATTTGGGGGCAGATCCGTAAAAGCAATCGTAAGGCTAAGGTGGAGGATGCCGTGTCAGTCTTGCATTCGATGAACATCTTCAGCTGTCAGCTGCACGCAACCGTAGAGCGCACGGGCCCCTTGGGCGATGCTTCATGTGGAACCGAACAGTCGTGGTCGCGAGCATCATTTTTTTCTGGAGATCTGCGCCGATTATTCTCCTTGGCCACCAAGAAAAGATCAGTGTCTCCAACTACTGGCTGGTGCTGCTGACTGTTCTGTCAGCTTTGGAAGCCCCAACAGGCAGCTCGCGCTCAAATTATCTGGGTACTTTTTCTCCCTACTATCTTCATACCAAACAGTGCCTACACCTTCACGAGGTGGTTCCTGCAGATCTTCGTACTCACCCCTTTGACTCTTGCGATTTCGGCTTTGGGGCCATGCTTCGTGCGCCTGATCTTCTTTGCGAGTGTTACAAAGTGCCTTCAGAAGATCGACAAAAAGCGGAGACCGAGTTCTGGCCCTGAGCTGCCTAAGCCGGAGCCAGACTCGTTTAGCATATGACGCGCAGTAAGTCTGAGTTAGAGGCCGAATTCGAGCTAGTTGGCAAATTGCCACAGTCTTCACAGGTCCTTATATATTTGCAGGGATCTTTTCCTGCTGTTCATTGTGCGAATTTTCACTCTGACTTGACCACCTTTGCACGTCTAAATGCACCTCGAAGGAGGTGAACTGTTCGATGCGCTTTCTTTCCGTGCCGCTGAACAGAGTCGTTCAAGGCTGTTGACTCAGGCATTTGGCGAAAGTCATGCTCATGTGCGCTAGTCTCTACACAATACATTTATATAGTTTTTCTGTTTGCCATGCCTGCTGTACCCTAATCCTACAGTCTCCTTAGGAATTATTGTTTAGTCTTTTCATAAAACCCAAAAGGAATATTAAAAAACACTACTTTCATTATGGATCAAAGGGGTGTATAGAATCCCTAAACCCTAAGATCCCATGGGCGGCAAGGCATGACGGAGCTCCTGCAACCCCCAGCCCGCTATTTAACTTTAGGGTGAACGCAGTGTTTTGTTTTGACATCCAGCGAGCCCCGATGTTTTGAAATCAACGTTGCAGCAAACAGAGGTAAACGGAGCGGCGGTGATTTATGAGCGCAGCCAAGTCCGTAGCCACGGCTTTCTTGCGAGCAACTTCACCAAATTACGTGCAGCTTGCATGCTTGTCGTCAAAGATCACACAGTTTTCTTATCACCGAGTTAGCAGTTAACCCCTTGCACCCATGACAGGCTTACCAAAACTGCAATGCTTGCAAACGTGTTCGAGACCCAGCACACCTAAGCTCACATGGTAGAGTCGGCGGCCGGCGTGGAGGACTTCGGGAGAAGATTATATTGCACAATGGGGTAAAGCGCTTCGACTGCTGCATTGCTTGGGTCATGTGAGCGGTGCGTGTGCATGCTGAAGGGTTTCGGAAGCTCGCGAGACATGCACGAGACTTCGGGATGAGTGCGGTCAGAGTTTGGCTTGAGTTCTGCATCCGTGCTGTTCGGTTGACACAGTGGTACAGCTTGTCTTGACGTCCACAGGAATATATCTTAGATCCGCAAACCTGCAGACACCCTAACCTCGGATTGCAGTGAAAGTTCTCGTGGTCCATGACACTTATGCAGGTCGAGCCAAATTGCAAAGTTTGTGTCATCAGCAAAGATGGTCGAACTGGGGTTCTTGACTGTTCTCGGTTTTTTTCGTGGTCATCGTTCTGACTCGTGCTGCTAATTGCTGTTGTGATGTTCGGTTCCCAGAAAGAGCCAGGGAGTTGCGTGCACCTTGTTGAAGTCGCCAGCCGCGACGGCCCGGCCGTGCCTGGGCGATGTTTAGGATGGCAGCGAAAGTTGAGGGATTCGTTGGGTGATGTTGGGTGCCGTTCTCTTGACAGAATTTTCGAATCCGGGGCGTCAGAAATGTGCTCTTTCTTGGTGGAAGCACATTGTTGCCTCCAGTTTTCGGATTGAGGGTTGGGGCCGCACAGTCGGGGTACCTCGAGAATCAGAATTGTCCCGGGTTCGTAGTGTTGTGGTTTGTTGGATGTGTCGTTTGGCAATATTACAGCATGTTCCAGATGAAGCTTGCGCGGGCAGGCGTAGCAATGTGCGTTCGAGGCGCAGGATGTACTGTTCTATAGTATGAGCCACAGCCGCTCGCAAACCAAGTGGATGTGATGCATCCACACCTTGCTGAAAGGCGACAGCCATCTCGGGAATGAGTGTGACAGAGACCGCCTGTTCTCGTCGTGCATCCGCTGGATAAAGCAAGACCCAGCTCCTCCGGCTTTCCTGCATGAATCGGCCTCTCCGTCAACCCGGACATGCATGCCCGATTACCCAAAGCCACTGAGGAGTGCATGAACTTGAGCCGTTTTGCCTGAGGCCCTTGAACTGCGCTCCCCTGACGGACGATGGTCAGGTGGGCAATGGGCAAGATTCCAGATGTCCAGCTTCTTAAGCGATGTCAGAGGTTGTGCAATGTGTCCAGAGGCCTGCCTAAGCCTGCCTAAACTGTCGGGACTCGCCTGCAACATCGAAAATCCGTATTCAAGGCAGCAGTCCTGAACTCCAGCAAATGCGAACAGTGACTGGAACATGCAGCAAATGAGAACAAGATAAGCTTGTTGCCGGGCTCGCAGGATCTTGTTTCTTTATCATTCATGCCGGTTTGCCGCCCAAAAGTTTGAGAACAGAGAAGAAATCAGCAGAGCTCCTCGTCGGTCAACCTGGGCGGGACAGCCCTGCTCAGCCCACAGCCCCAAAAACTGCTGTTGCGGTAGGCGCAAGATTTTGATGGTCGTGATTTGGGTTGTGAGCACGCCGTCGGGCCTTCTTGGGTCTCGAATGCCTGTCTGCAGCCACGCTTAATGTCCAACGCTACACTTTCTTTCAAAGCTAGAAAAATTCGAGGTGGAAATTGCATTGATGGCCACGGAGCACCCTGCCATCACAGCCGGGGCCTCTGCTTGGCTTTCCTCCGACGCGCCTAGGAGTCATGGTTTAGTGTTGTTGGGTTCTTTTGTAAGTGCAGTGGGTTGGGTTCATGGTATGAGCTTAGGTTCGCGGTGGCCCTTCAGACATTTCAGGTGCATCTTTCTGTTGCCTTCAAATTCAAGTCGCACTCGCGGCCGCTTGAGGAATTCGGAAAGACGGCATTCGAGCACATGAAGGACACTATGTTGGCACGGTCCAAGACTTTCAGCGAAGGGACCACAAAGTAGTGTCACGACATGAGACACGGAGACCTTGCGCGCCTCAGTGCAGTCATTTGCTGCTTGCACGCTGAGTTCACATGCCTCTGCTCGTCAAGGTAGGACAGCAAGGAATGTGAGCCGGTGCCGAAACGCCCAAGGTCCGAATCCAGGCCCTTGCACCTCAGCAGTCTCAAAACTTTAATCGCACTAAGCAGACGCAAGTGAATGCTGCCTCGAAGAACTGATTCGGGCTCACCTCGCCAACCCAGAAGACCGAGACCTGGGATCAGAGTGTGGGGATAGAGCTGAAATTTCTAGACCCTAAACGCTTGACCTTGCTGTTTGGGCTTTGGTGGGGAGGAAGCCAATGCGCTTCTCACGACTTGCGCGCCGTGGCAGGAGGGGAGTGGTGGCAGTTAGGCAGTTTCAGGATGTTTCAAGGTTCATCTTTGATCATGTCCTGCACCTGGTACTGCAGAGATAATTGCCAGAAGCACCGCCCAAAACTACGAGTTCTCACCGCAGGAGCTCGGCGACTTCCCGCCTGGAGCACTCGATACATACCGGCACCGTTGCGAGAAATTCGGAGTTTAAGGAGAGGCTTCGGAATTGTTCACGCTAGCTAGAGTGCAACGTTGGGTTAGGGCTGCCTCTGGGGCAAGTCATTGGGCATGACTTGGTAATCCAGACAGCTGCTATCATCCATGCAGAAAGCCGTGAACGGGTTCTCCAGAATGCTCCAGGGTGCCAGATAGAGATCTCCGTGACTGCTTCAAGGTCCGCCAAAGCTTTTGCGGCCTCGCTGCTGAAACAGCTCGAGCAGCTAGCAGCTAGACAGCAAGGTGGTCGCACTTCATGTCGGCATAACGTGTGCTCCTTTCACTCGCGCGTTTGCGACTTATTAATGAAAGGCCAGCATGAGTAGTCTACCTGACAAGGGCTCGTTTGTTTGAACGGTTGTACATCTAAAGCTCCCGGTCGGCCAGCGCTACTGTGTTGCGAGCAGAGGATTCCATCGATCTGGATGATTTGAAGCCCGACTGGGGAGACAAGGACAAACCGCCTGAGGCTTTGGAATCAAGAAGAGTGGCTGCAAAGGTGGTAGGATCACCATGTGCGCACCACGCACAGAGGTGGAGCGTACTTTCTGTGCTTTGCTGCATGCAGCGTGTCCATGGAGAGCACGTGCACAGCTACTGCATCTACCAAACCGCCCTTCTGCCACCTTGGCGGCCCTGGTTTTGGAGGAGACGGTGCGGATGGCAAGACGATCTGCAATTGCATTTGCGCAGCAGCTGCTCTGTCCGATTCAACAGGTTTGCCAGTCCAACAGCTCATGTTGGTTAGGTCACAGGTGCGTATCGTGCTCCAGAGCGGCTGAGCAGTGGAACATAGCAGTAAAGTGGCCATGGTTCCAGGTCGATGCCAGGTCGATGCCGGTGTTTTGGAGTTCCAACTTTGGATGTCGCATCGAAGGATTTGATTATGGTCAAGCTGTGAAGCGTCCACAACGTCCAGCAAAGCTGCATTGCACATGGTTGATGTAAAGATAAGGGTGTAAGGGAATCCCTTGCCGTTAGAGTCTAGCGAAGCTGCTTTGACCATCCTGGACAGCTCACGCCCGACAGCAAGGTACGTCAGACTCTCTAGTAACTCTAGTGTCTCTAGTAAGAACACTACAGGTCATGCTGGGCATTAGATCTTGCTGCAAAAGGAAAAGAACTGCTTGGAACTCTCAAGACTGACAGGGTCCAGGGTCCATGCAAGCTGTGCCGAATTCCACGCGGGACCTTTGTTGTTGTTGTTGTTGTTGTTGTTGTTGTTGGCAGCACGTGCGTCTGCCGCCGCGCGGGGTGGAGCAAATTCGGGGCAGGCATGTGCCAAAACTCGAG